CGCACTTTAAAGCCACACTAGCATTTCTGATCCCGTTGACAGAAAATGTGCCGTCGTCCTTCAATATGCTAAGGTTATTGGTAATTTATGTTAGGTCTGATATTAGCACCCCCGACATGCTATGTCGTATTGAGTTTTGCAAATTCACTAACTAGCTATAACCCCTGGGCGATGCAGCCTTACCACTCTGCTAACCCATTTTATTTTACAGTGCTACTCCGTGATTTGCGATTGAAAAATTGACTTAAACAGAGTGATTACACAATCAGCTGAAATTTCATTTCCTGTCTGATGCAAGAACTGTTCAGATAAAAAGTAAATGGAACCATTTATTTTTGCAAGTATATAAAATGTTTGTATCATAATGTAATCTTGAAGCGTCACGGAGTGGTCAAATCACTCGTAGTTTATCTTGTTTTGTCTCCCAAAAAGTTTATATTATGAACACACATTAGAATTTAATAACTGAAGGCTGAGTTTTAACTTTTTTTTTTTTTTTAATTTTAGGTATATTTTATGTAACATTAATGTTATGACTTGTTACACTGAGGGAATCTGGGTTTTCACTGAGTATGAAGCATGAAGCATGAGTATGAACTGAGTATGTCATTCTTAAGCCGTTGTTTAAAATCATTATTAGGCCTATATGGAATGTATGGTACTGTATGTTTGATATATTTATTAAATTGATCAATAAAAATCATGTTAATTCATGTATTGCAAGGAGTTTGACAGTAGTCAGTGTTTAGTACTGCTGTAAGGCAAACACTGCCAGGTTACAAAATTTGAAAACGGTTAATGGTTGAGAATATTCATTCATAATTTAGAAAAGTAATGAAAAAGTAATCAAATGTAATTAGTTACATTACGTTCATATAGTAATTGAAATAGTTACACTACTGTTACATTTTAAAAAGAGTAACTTGTAATTGTAACAAATTACATTTCCAAAGTAATCTTCCCAACACTGTTGGGGACCAGAGAAGTGAAGACACATCCCTTATTTCTCAAAATGATAGTGAATGAGCCACTGAAATCCCTCACCTTTCACTATAGAGAATGCCTAATTGTCCAATGCAATCATCTCCATTATTGTAATAGCTGTCTTCAGCTCTATGTCGGGGGACCAGCCCATGACAGCTAAGCCCCTCTTATTATGCAGGTTCTAGATTCCCAGTTATGGACCACAGCTCCAATGACACTTAAAACATTTCATTTCCAGCACAAAAACCATGTAGTAGGTAAGCTTACTAATGACAAAAAATAGTACAGTGGTACCTCAGTTCTCGAACTCATTGGAACTGGAATTTCTTAAAAGTCGAACCAGCCAGTTGGAAAAAAAATTACCTAGAACTCGACCTGAATCTCAGAAGTCAAACCGAGAACGCCGACCTAAGATAACTTGTACACGCGGGGAAATGAGTCATGCGGAACGTTTCTCAGCAAAACACAAAGGGTAATGCTTCAGTCTCAGCCTTGCATTCGCTGTGATAGCAGCGTGCATGTTTATACTTGCTGAATACATATATTTAGACAATGATAGACAGTAACAGTAATTATTATAATAAAATACATTTAAAAATAAAGATTTCTTATTAATTATTTTAATATTAATAATAAACCATTAATATATTTTATTATAATAATATTGTCGTGCCAAGCAGGGACGGAACGGAGACAAAGGCGCAGACGTCAGGGTATCGGGGAATACGGGGTTTAATTACAGGTAAGGCAGGCAAAACGCAGATGGACAATACAGTGACCGGACTGGGGAAACAAACTGAAACGCGGAGTAAATACAGAGGACTAATGACAACAACCAGAAACAGCTGATCACACGGGGATTCCACACAGGGTTAATGAGGGGGTGTGGCACACGGAAGGAGCAGAAGATCGGGGCAGGACACATTATTTTTTTAACTTTACACATTGTTTGGATATATTTATTTTCTTACTTTACAAATTACTGTTTTGATAAATGTGCTTAGATGTGTTTAGTACAGTATATGCTCTTCTTGTTTTATCCGGTTCATTTTGTGTTTAAATGCTAAAAAAAACATATTTAGGTGTAATTTTTTGAGGCCGGGAACCAATTAATTGGTTTTCCATTATTTCTTATGGGGAAAATTCGATCAGAACTCGAACTTTTTAGGATTCGATCCGGAGTTCTGAACGGATCAAATTCGAGTTCTGAGGTACCACTGTACAACCAAAAAAAATCCCAATGCTGCCACATGATAATAGGAAATGACAATATCAGAAATAATGTATAAATAATCTCTAATTACATGGGCCCATGATAAAACTCCCTGAAGGAAATCCCAATACGTTCTATTAATCAGGTCGTCAGCAGGTCCCTTGCACGTACATTGCACAGTCTTGAACCAGATCAGCCCGACTTCACACGCCACCCATCAGATACTTAAGGGGGAGGCAGCAAGAGAATACAAAAGAAACTAAGCACACACACACACACACACACACACCATCGTCCAGTCATTCACACAAATATAAATAAAATCATTCCTTTAGAAACACATAAGGATTTGTTATAAAACCAATATATAAACACAGAACCACCTTGTGCTCAATTTGACGTCTTAAAACTTTGCGCCTATAGACATCAAATATTAACGCCTACAGACGTTTTAAGACGTTTTGGCCTCGTTGGCCTTCCATAGGGCCAAAATGTCTTAAAGCTTTACACTTATTGACGTGAAATATTAACACCTACAGATATCAAATTTGCACGCCTGCAGACGCAAAAAATCAACACGTCAAATTTGCACACCTGTAGACGCAAAAAATCAACATCAATTTTTCACACCTTCAGAATAAAAAAATTAACACGTCAATTTTTCACGTTCACATACGTAACATTTTGCCCTCTATATACGTCCATATAGCCCGCTGATGTGTGCTGACGTCGACAAAGCCACCCTTTCAAAATAAAAGCACTGCCAACTCCTGTCCACAAGCGCCTTAATCGAGCACTGTTCCTGATCGTTCAGATTCAACACACTGGGTAGCCTGTGCGTAAAATGTAACAATGAAATGGTGAGTATGAATAGATTAACACAAGGACTCTCTGCGGATCCTCATAGAATCATTGGTGTCAGAAATAGCAGATGGAGCTACAGTTACTCAACCCGGTCCGCAGAGTGTTCAGGGGGACAGTCAGGACAGGACAGTCACTTGTCAGCTGCCTGTTGTAAGGAAGGTTCCTTACAGTAGCCAAGTGCACTTTCTATT